ACGCTACCACGTGCCCCGAAATTAAAATGATATGTAGATAAAATTAATAGTGTTTAGATTAAATTTCGACAGCCTAGCTGTATTACAAGCAGTAATGATTCAAATGCCAGACACTTCGGTCGGTCTACTTTTATCTATAAAATGTTATATCTGTTGTTGGTGTTGACTACCATTGCAACTGTCCTCTTCGGAGTGCTACATGTATACGTGTATCTTTCTTATGTACACAAATACTGGAAGAGAAGAGGTGCCCCCTTTCTAGATCCAATTTTTCCTGCAGGAACATTAAAGGCATTATTCCTTCCCGAAAAGCAATGGCAGAAATATATTTTGACTTTTACCAAAAAAACTCTGGCCATAACTTCATCGAATTATAACACATTCACAGACCAGTATATTTTTATAAAAATGTTAAATATATTTTACTATAATATTGTATTTTCTCTTTTCGCAAATACGGTATAATTTATTCGAGAATGTATTTGTGTACTCAGCTGGTTTAAAGAATGANAATCAAATCGACGCGTGTAGATTAACAAAGATTTTATACAATTAGAAAGACTGGTAATTTTAAATTTTAACAAGCAGTGTAACAGCTACGTGAGTGATACACACCTGATGATGGCCATTTAGGGCCGAAACATGTAGTGTGGAGGAGGAAAAGAAGTAAAAACTACAATAAAATTTGTTGCACTTAAGACGGTATTTATCCATATATTTTCTTAATTTCAGTTTTCAACCTCTTATAAAGTATCAGTCGTGTTCAGCCAGTATAGACCAAAATTAATTTTCCGCATTACTTATAATGCATGCCCTCGGTAGTAAATAATTAGTTCCCGGATTTATCTAGTATAGTCGCATAAAAATATTCGGATTTACTGACATATATTGTGCTCACAGTTTCTGTATACACCTGTATATATCTCGGTTTTATTTAAATGCATTTCACAATGAACTGTTCTAATCTGAATTGTAATGAATTTTTCAACAGGGCGGACGTTTACGCGTTCAGCAGCGTCTTGCTGACAAGTATGGGGTTCCTGTTCGAGTCACTACTTCTGGGTGTGGGGGTGCTGGTGGCTTGTGTCCTCTCAGTGGTTTACGCCTATTTCAAGTGGTCATTCACTTACTGGAAGAAACGTAATGTACCGTACGTCGAACCGTGTTTCCCATTTGGAAATTTCAAGGAGGTCGCTTTGATGCGGAAAGAATTTGGATATGTAATCAGAGACATTTACACAAGGCTTGAAGGGCACAGATACGGAGGAGTGTACATAATCAGCAGACCGCGGTTATTTCTCCTAGACCCTGATTTAATTAAGGATGTACTAGTTAAAGATTTCTCTACTTTCCATGATCGGGGAGTCTATATGAATGAAGAAACAGCACCTCTGTCGGGGCATCTATTTTCATTACCTGGAAAGAGATGGAGAAACCTTAGGATCAAGCTGACCCCAACTTTCACATCCGGGAAGATGAAAATGATGTTCCAGAGACTTGTGGAATGTGGAGATGAACTTAAACTTTGCTTGGAAAATATTGCGGGAAGGGGAGAGGTTATTGAAGTTAAGGACATTCTAGCTAGGTTCAGCACGGACGTAATTTCGTCCTGTGCTTTCGGTATCGAGTGTAACTGCCTGAATAATGACGACGCGGAATTCAGACAGTGGGGAAGAAAAATTTTCGAACCATCAATCCAGCGAATAATCATTGGAATTTTGTCAGCCGTTGCACCAGTTGTGTTAGATAAGCTAAAATTATCTATATTTGATTCGGACGTTTCTAAATATTTCCTGAAAATGGTGCAGGAAACAGTTGAATATCGCGAAAAGAATAACGTGAAGCGCAATGATTTCATGCAACTGTTGATACAGCTTAAGGAGAAGGGCAGCTTGGACTCCGAGCAGGGAGCTGAGGACCGAAGTGAAGAGGAAATGAATGGAACTTGTGAAACAGCGGATGGTATGTAGCCTCTCAAACAGAAAGTCTCCCTTAAATAGATATAGCGTCTACGTGCATTTATCTTTATGAAAATGGTCTTCATATTATATATTTAGTTTATGTAGCTCTCAAGCGATAGCACCTAATGCACTTTTGGCTTCTCCACCACATATCCTTCTAATACTGTTCTTACGAGGGGGCTACTTTTATAAAACAAAGTTCAAGAGAAGAAACAACCTGCTATTGGCGCGTGAATGGAAGGTATCACTAAACCAATCTCGGAAAAAGAGATTATATGGATATGAATTGGATTTAGTTGGCTCATTACTTATACGTAACGAACGCTATATTACAGCTTCAAACATCGTTAAAATTTATTCATTTTCAAGTTAGGTGTCTGTTACTTGGTGAAGGAATAGACTGTTAGCACATACTTAGTTAGCTGGAAACTTGTCTTAGTTCTTCTACTTTAATTCAGTTGTTATTAATTGGTTTACTTCGTTTGGTTGGTTCATTTAATTAATTTGGGAACATGAAATGACAGTAATTACGCCGTCAACACAAATTATCTCTCTGTTTATTTCATTTAAAATTATCGCCGACATATTGAGAACGGCTACATAGCAGGAAAGATAGAACTACGATGCAATTGTCTGCGGTGCTCTGGGAATTCTTACTTTAATTGGTTCAATCATTTCTATTGTCGTCAGTTTAACTCTTAATTTTTTAATTTACCGGTAGTGGTTTATTTACCTAACATCATGGTGGCGAGTCCTTCTTGAGAAGCCAAAAGCAGCGCAGCAACTCAAGAATCTCCCATAATTTTACGGGGCCCGTAGTCCCATTGCCACTTTCAAAAGAACCCCCCACTGATTCCTGTTCTCAACAAGATAAATCCAATATTTATATCAACCCATCCTATTGTCTTAGATCCATTTTAATCTTATCCTCTCACAACCCCCTCGTTCTTCCAAATGGTTTATTTCCTTCTGGCTTTACCACCAAACACTTCATGCATTCCTCTTTCCTTCCATACGTGCTACATTCCCTGTCTATCTTCTCCTTCATTTGATCATTCTATTGTTTAACTTCGTTAGTTTGGTTAATTACTTTAGTTACATTAGTTAATTCATTGTTATCTGACACCTTAAGAATTGCACTTTTTGTAATTACTGGAATAAAATTTATCTAGTGTAACAAACATTCCAGTACACACACTGATACTACACACAACCGACAGTGCACGGTACAGTAAGATGTTTTAAGGATCAGTAACATTAACAGCATTATAACAAGTAAAGTGGGAGAAAAGACGATATGCAGTAGTGTTTGTGAGCTGTGTACAATTCAGGGCTATTGGATGATATTGGAAAGTCGCCTATATCGTCCACCGGATTTGTGTGCGTGCGCGCGTGTGTGTGTGTGTGTAGTAATGCACTTTGTCGTTTTTAATTGAAAGTTGCTCCTCCCTGATTCTTTGTCGCATTGTGAATCAGTGTAGTCAATGTTATTCTCAGAAGAGGACGTACGCTGATAATTAGAAATTTCTTAAGGCTGAGTTCTTGGAAACATACACATACTATTTGATTTTCTACACTAAAGTTGTGAAGTCATACCTAGCTTCTTACACACAGCTTCATTATAATACTTATTGGCAAATTACAACCAGGTTTTTAGTGTGAACAGCTTCTCGTAAACCGTGCGCCATATTGTTTCCGAAGTAGGTTCCTAATGTTGTGTGCTAGGGGTGTCTCAATATTGTCCACTGTAAGATAGTAGGAATTCATTTTGTTCATTAAGAAATTTGAAAATTATTTTTATTTATCCCTAGAGGCAACAAATAGTGCAAAGAAACACAGGGTGTGGGTGTAGAATCAATTCTGATGCAGTTAAAGTAGTCAAAGTTAAGAAGACGAGCATGCTCAAGGCATCGAAAGTGTTCAATGTACCAATAGCAGCACTGAATATAACTTGCATGATTTTAGTCAGCACAGTGTCGGTAGTGTGAATATTTTTTCTCAGAAGACAAAAGCGGAGAGAAATGAATGCTCTGCACCAAGTGCCATTAATAATGCCTGAGGAATGTACAGAACGACGTGAAGACTGGAATCAGTCCACCTGCAGTGACCGTCTGGACATCCAGAGTGATTAATACTGCATTTCTTTCAAATTTTAGCTTTCAGTTTGGTCAGGCTTGTTATTACTTTTACATGTTTTCAGTTCAAACAATTTTCTTTTTTTGCATTATGAAGTTCCATTTATTGTTCCCTTTTTATGCATTTTCATCTCTGTGTGTTACATTTCCACATCATTACAGTGAAACTTGTTTGAAGATGATTGATAATTCAGTTTTCCAACTTCCTTACTATAAATATTACTTTAAGATGCTTTGGGGTGAATTAAATTGGAAGATCTGCGTTCCTAATATCGCTAAGGCACTCATTGATTGATTGATCAGTAACAGTCAGATGACAGGTCCACAGTCTCTTCCAAAACAGTTCCTCCGCTTAATGTGATCTTCTGTTTTTGGAAAGAGACTATCCAGGAAAAGTGATAATGTGGTAGTTTTTCCATTTGCTTTCCACATCGCAGTACAACAGCCGTTCAAANAAAAAAAAAGAGACTCTTAAATTTATATGTGCCAATTTTCTTGAATAAATGATAAGTGCATACATATTTTCACCAATTTGTATAATTATTTTCTTCGTTCATCAGTTATCCTTGCCTCAAATGAGGTTGAAAGAAGTGTGGACGATATTAGGCCAACTTTCCCTACTTCTGTTGCAAAAAAAAAAAAACATGGTTGTCTTGATAATTTATAAATGTGAATCATACTTCAAGATCTATAATAAGTGTAAAGCGAAATTTCTTATATTGTCATGCTTCTGAACATAGCTCAAAGGGGCCAAAACATACAAGTGTATACATCCACTGTAATCTCTTCCGTTAAGTTTGTTATACTGGAGAGCTTAATATTTCAGTAATATCTTGCGTGGGTGGTTTATCCGGTTGCCTAATTCGTTAGATTCTGGACTGTACAAGTATGTACCATTCTACAGGTCTGTCGATGAACTCCCTGGCTGCCCAAGCTTTTGTCTTCTTCCTTGCGGGTTTCGAGACATCCTCGACTACCATGACGTTTTGTCTGTACGAGATGTCAGTAAACCCGGACATACAGGAGCGCCTGCGCACAGAGATCGACATGGTGCTAGAGAAACACGACGGGAAACTCTCATACGAAGCCGTCCAGGAGATGAGCTACTTGGACAAAGTTGTATCAGGTGAGGCAAAATGCACGATAATCTCTTCTACTGTTGTCTGTGTGCCGTATTATAAGTTAGTTTTACAAGCGTCAGTCTTTCCCAAACTGAAGTGATGACCACGGACTGTACCACTAGGAACCGATCCTTGAGATGAGAGTTGAAATTGTACTCTGCATCACCACGTCCAGCCTACTGTTTAATGGATATGGAGCAGAAGGTTCTTTTCGCGGTAAAAATTAAACCGGTGTGCGAAGTAGTTCGCATAATCGAAACAGAGACATCTGACCTTTGCAAGTAGGCCTGTCAACAAATGTACTGCACGTCTGCTGAATAAGACAAACTAATAATCAGCTATTTATGTAAAGAATCAATATCGAAAATTCCAAAAGTATTTAATTTTGATTAGTGGAAGAAATGTACAGAGTGGTTCTCGAAATGATTCTGTATTTAATATATTAATAAAGTCTTTATTTCAGTTACAATCCTGGACACTATCATACATAAAGGAAGACCATTGCATGTAGATTTATCGTCGGCGATTCAAGTTTCGATATGACAAATATTACGTATGGGAACTTCTTCAAACTGAATTGTGATGTTGCTGATTACTCGACGGTACATATCCTCAGTTATCTGGTTGCGGGCCTGAATGATTAGTGCTGTCAATTCCAATAATTTTTGCGGCTTTTTCGGAAAGATCTTTCCCTTAAGGAATCCCCAAAGAAAGCAGTAATATGGGTTTAAATCAGGACTATTCGTGTGCCAGTTCTGTCCACATGCGAAACGATCAGGAAATCTGTTTGAGAAGACACATGAGTCAAAAATATCACGCAATTATACCAAAACAACATTCGCTGTGTGCGGCCTGGCTCCATCCTGCATGAACATCCGAGTCTGTATTGGCAAACCTGTAGCAAGATCCACAGAAGTATTGCGCAGCATGCTTAAAGAGTGCTCACTGTTCACTGTCTCTTCAAAGTAAATTGGTCCTAGCAATCCATGACTTGAGATGACGAACCACACTGTAATTCTCAATCCATGTTGTGCCTTTTCATGAATCGCACGTGGAATCTCTGACGCCCCAAATCGCACATTTTGTTTATTAACCTCACCATCCAAGTGGAAGTGTGCCTCATCAGAAAACCAAACACTGTTGAACGATACCTCATTACTCTGAGCCCACTCAGCAAATGCCATTCTTTAATGTTTCTTTTGAACTGTAAGTTCAGGCAACACACAGAGAATAAATCTCCATGCAATGGTCATTTTTGAATGTTAGTTTCTAGTATTGTAATTGAAATAAAGATTTTGTTACCAGATAAAATACCGGATCATTTCGTCCTCTACTCTGCTAATATGTAATTTTGTAAGCATCCACCTGTTCCCCACCCCTGAACTTGTGAGGCAGCGGAATCACCTACAGAGATGACTTATTATCCATTCAACAGCTAACGTAACCATAACGATAGGAAAAGAAAGATTTTGTAATCATACTTATAAAATCTACGAAATTAAACTTACTTTTTGCCCTAATGTTATGTAATACTCTAGTTTTGTTAAGTATATGTACCAAATAACGTGACTGTAGCGTTTGATTATGTGTAAAATCCAAATATGGAGCAGCTAATAATCGAAAATAGGAGTCACAGAATGATTTTAATGTCATTGAGAAGTGCATTTAGGCGATATTGAAACCAATACAGACAATAAACTCACCTCGTTGTCTAAATATCACCAACACACAAAAGTGCTGGAACATTCGACGAAAAGTGTCTCAGATAAAACAAACGCTTCTATTTCAGAAACTCTCAGAAAATATCCGCCACTTCCAACGGTAAACCGCGAGTCTTCGAAGAAGTACAAAATTCCGGAAACAGACATTGTTTTGGACACAGGAACGCGGGTTTTCATACCCGTGATTGGTCTTCACCACGACCCCAAATATTACCCCGAACCTGACAGGTTTGACCCCGAACGGTTCAGTGAGGAAGAGAAGCAGAAGAGACACCATTATGTCTACCTTCCTTTTGGAGAGGGACCCAGAATTTGTATAGGTAAGTTGCACCCATCAGTAAGTATCCGATAAAAGTGTTATTGAAAGTACAGGGATCATATTAAGTAATAATCACCTTCTCTTCTTATTCAGATATTAGCCTGTTGTTTTTAGAACATTAGTCGCTCCAATTCTAATGCTGATTCCAGTGACTTTTCTTCATTTGGGAACGATATTTGTTATTGTTATTCCATCAAATTGTAACTGATTACAGAGTTAATTTATTCTTTTGTTCACTCAATTTCTGTGCTCTGGATGACATTATTGCGTCATGTCTAGACTTCTTGTTTTATGAAATGTACCTGTGTCCTTCTAAGAATCCACAATAACAGATAATTATTCAATTCATTTCCATATTTATTCACATTTATGTCTATATGCTGATTGTCATATTCTGGTATATGGTATATCGGTATTTTTATTTGCGCACGACCGACTCTCATTATCATTGCTCTTTAGCTTTAAGTTTGCTCTAAAATGTATTTATTCATGAGACATTTTCTGACGGATACGTGTATGCTAATAATTTCCCTAGTGACATTTACATTCACGCCTAAATGTCCTTATGTTCGAAACACGTGTTCTTACGTGCAATAATGTGTGTACTTGTATATACGTATATGCGTCCTGATGCTCTTTGTTGGGTTCTTACTCCTGTGTTGATTTGCAGATCCTTTTGCCCAAAACTGACATACATCTGACACTAATTTCTCATCCAGATGAAGATACTTCATTAGAGCTGAATGTTAACAAAAGCGTTTCAGTTTAAGTGCAATGAATTACGTATCGTTGTTTTATATCTATCAGTGTCCACATAAGGCGTTGAAGAGTGGAAAGGGATTTTTAATATAGTACGCATACCATAAAAAGATCCGAGATAGCGCAATCGGTATAGCGACAGGCTACGGGCTGGACGACCCAGAAGTCCGAGTTCGAGTACCGGTAGAGTAAAGAAGTTTCACTTCTCCATGACGTCCACGGAACCTCCTATAAAATGGGTACGGAGGACCTTTCCCAGGGGTAAAGAGGCCGGAGCGTGAAGCTGACAACTCACCTGCAACTAGTCCCGGGGTCAAGAAAATATGGATCTACATATCTACCCCCCACACGTCTTAAAGTTATAGTGCTCAAATAGTTAAGGGCTGGGATAACTTTTACGCACACCGTAACAATTCATCTTGAATCCATATATTTATTGTGCGTTATTGTAGGTCAGTAGTTGAAGAATTAGAAGTCAGCCTGTGAAGACTTAGTGTTTGATTAGAAGCTTCAGAAGATTTAGTCACAATGTGACTGTTTTAATTCCGTTACCAAGATACCAATAGTGAAAACTGAGAATCCTAGTGCATGTGTAAAGGTGAACCGTAAATTGTGTAGATCAGCAGTAGCGCTGTATTGCTTGTAAGTATAAGTTAATTGCATAAGGTGTTAATAAACCCAATTACCAATCCGAACTCCATCTATAATCAATAACAGACGTGACAATATAAAGCGCTATACGTTATTGCTCAAAATGGCCAAAATACACCTTTATTGCATACTTTTAGAAACAAATTCCAGCAACAAATCCCCAAGTTTTCTTTCTGTCGGTATAACGCTTTTCCATTCGTGTATCCAAATGAAAGACAAATCGAAATGATTAACACATAGAACTTTTGTTTGCTGACTTACTAACCAATGCATAATCATCGGTTCCAGGGATGCGGTTCGGATTGATGCAAACCAAGGTGGGACTGGTTTCTCTTCTGTCCAAATACCAGTTCAGCGTGAGCAAGAAAACTCCTGTTCCTCTGATGTTCGATCCCAGGTCATTCATACTGGCTCCTGCTGGCGGAATGTGGCTGCAGATTAAAAAGAGAAGCATGGAATACGCTGAACTCCTGCTCTGAATGCAAGCAACATAGCCTCTACGACACGCCACATTCGTGCTCAATCCAAAGTCTCAATGGTATAAATGTTCATTAGTTCAACTACCTTACGGTTGAAATATGGCAGTCGGCGAGTGGCTGTTTGAAGCTTCGACCACTAACCAATAAATCTGTTCAAAATTCGAAGTTTTGAGTCTTCATCTCTGGTTTAAAGAAAACTAAGCTAAAACTAAATAAATGCGTGAATCGTACTTTTCACAACGACGAAAGTTTATATCTCGTTGTTAGGCAAAAATCAGCGCACCAATGAACTGGCGAGAAAGCTATCACGTGGCTTGTTTTCATTGTGGTCCGCGCAATCCCCAGTTATAAGCAACATAACTGTAAAATCATATACAATACTAGGCGTTTTCTATGGAATCCCTGTCGAAGGCTTATAGGGGACTGTGAAGGTGTTTTGCAGTCAGTCATAATTGAGAAGCCGTGAGTCAAGTACACACGAAGCCGTCACAGAAAGGAGTCCAGGAGGATTCAGCAGTTGATTACAAGGACGAGAAAGGAGCGTATCCTTAGCGAACTGTGAAGATTAACTGATTACAGGTTCGGACTGAGGAGTACAGATTGATTGAAGGCGAAAATTACAAGAAGACGTCAAAGTGATTTGAAATGATAGTTTCTGTGTTGAGAAACAATTGGTGAAGACAGAGAATCCTAATACGTGTTCAGCGGTGAAATGGAAAGTGTAAATCAGCGATAGCGCTGTATTAATTGTAATTAAGAGAGAGTATAACCGAAGTGCTAATAAATCCAATCCTCTTAACTAGAGCCCGTTATTTTCCTCACGCGTACCCCCATACACGTGACAATATTATCCGTCGTTATATGAAAGTTTACCTTTATGCTACAATGGATAATGATAATTAATACCACCTCCTAGCCCTTCCATATTCATTATATATTCTTATATGAAGGTATTAGACACATGATTGTTGTATCATTCGTAAAGAGTTTCTACGGTTATTTTATATATGCATACAACTGTAAATATGGAAAATTAAAATATATTAAGTAATTTGTATTCTTAATTTGGTATCTTTAACCAGGGCAGGCTGCAGCAGTAACTAATAATAAGAGAAAAATGCGAATAGTTTGCCGAAGAGCAAAACATGTCTTCGGTACTATCAGTGGGTGGTTCTAACATTACTCTGGGGAACGAGATCTCTCTAGAGACGCTAATAATCGTTCATCTGCTAAGGAAGTTCCCCACCTTTTGTGGAATCCGAAGGCCCATTCGGTATTCACAGCCGGCGTCGGTTATTTTCTTTCATTTTCACAAGCTTTGTGTAAGATTTTTTTTTTTTTTAGAATAAAGATGTCCAGAACTTTCAGTGAAATTACATGTCAATGAAACCCATTTGCAAGTGTTAGACAATGCCCGCAACACACACGCGGCCAACAGTATAGGAACAGTGTTTCCTACTTACACGGAAGGACCGTTGCTATGCAACACACGCGCTGTTACGTCACACAACAGTACATGGCCGTCACGTGACATGTTTTCTGCGCGTACGGTGACGTCACACAACAGTAATGGGTAGCGATCACGTGACATATTTATGATGTTGCGCTGTCTGTCCGACGGCCATATAATTGTACGGAATAGCCCTGAGTTCAGAGTTACGAGAGAGAAATACACGTAGTAGAGGCGGAAGCACGTGAATTGGAACCAGGATTACAGAAGAATACAGGAGGTCGGCCTGTGATGATTTAATATGTGATTTGAAGGTTTTATGAGTGTGATAGTGAGTGATAGCTGAGAAGTCAGATAGTGAAGATTTATTGTGTGAATTAAAGGCTATATTTGGAGTGTGTGATTCAGTGAGACTGATAACTAGTGCAGATAGAGTGAATAGATTGGTGTGGAGAGATTATGCATTGTGTAAAGCAGCAAGAGTGTAATAATTAATTGCAGTTACGACCTGTTGTTTGTTAATAAATCCAATTATCAATCCGAACCCCGTCTATAGTCAATATTACACGTGACAATATTAATTCGGTGTATGTAATTTCGACTGATATAAAATATCTAATAAAGCAAAGTACTATACATATGAGCACAAGTATGTATCATCGGTTTGCATTTGGGTAAATCTTTCAAAAGGAGGGCAGAAAGGTTCGCAAGCCTGTACTTTATACTTTTACCGTATGTCCAAAAAGTATCCGACTTTATTTTTTTTTCCGCTGTAAGCACTGGCCAAAGGGGTGGGGAAACTGAGAGTAGTGGTAGAAGGGACTTTCATGCGCATGCGTGATTTTTTGCTGACTCGCAACATCGCCGGTTGCGTCTGTGGATGCCAGATAGCGAAGTGGTGTAACACGTGTTCGTCGCATTCTCGTTTCGCTCAACATGACAGAACGCTTGGAGCAGCCATACTGCATCAAGTTTTGTCAGAAACTTGGGGATACCCAAACGGAAACAATTCGAAAAATTCAGCAGGCTTTCGGCGATGATGCAGTGGGGGTCACTCAAATTAAAAAGTGGTTCAACCGCTTTAAACATGGCCGTATGTCAGCGGAGAGTGAGCAGCGTTCCGGGAGACCGTCAACGAGCCGAAATGCTGATGTCATCGAAAAAGTGCGGACACTGATCATGGAGGACCGTCGTTTGGCCATCCGTGAAGTTGCTGATGAGGTTGGGATCAGCAGGGGTTCCGCAAACACAATTTTAACTGAGGATTTGGGCATGCGAAGAGTGGCGGCAAAATTTTAGCCCAATCTGCTTTCGCTGTAGCAGCAACAACTTCGCCTTGAGGTCGCGCAGGACATGCTGCAGTACGCCAACAGGGATCCTGAGTTCCTGAAAACTGTGATTACTGGTGACGAGTCGTGGGTGTACGGATATGGCCCAGAAACCAAGGTCCAGGCGTAAAAATGGAAGCATCCAACATCCCCGAGGGCCAAAAGAGCACAACAGGTTCGGAGCAATGTGAAGGTGATATTGACTGTTTTTTTCGATTACCGGGGTGTTGTGCATCATGAGTACGCACCACTAGGCCAGACTGTCAATAAGGAGTATTACCAAGAAGTCCTTCGCCATCTTCATGATACAGTTCGGCGCAAGAGACCGGAGCTGTGGGACGCACGCAACTGGCAGCTGCATCATGACAACGACCAAACTCATTCATCGCACCTGATCCAGGGTTTCCTGGCCAAGCATGGCATTCCGCAGGTTCGCCAGGCTCCCTACTCTCCTGACATGGCTCCTTGTGATTTTTGGCTGTTCCCGAGATTGAAGACACCGCTAAAAGGCTGCTATTTTGACAGCCGCGAGGACATCATACAGAACGCGACGGCGCAGCTGCACACCATTCTAAAATAAGCCTTCCAGAATTGCTTCCAGCGATGGAAGGACCGCTGGGCTAAGTGTGTTGAGTCACAAGGGGCCTACTTTGAAGGAAATTAGGTATTGTAACCACCCAGATACAGAACGTCTTCCCCGGCCTAAGGTCGGATACTTTTTGGACAGAGTAGTATGTTCATGGCAAACAATTTGCCTAGAAGGACTTCGAAAAATCACGAAACGCATCAATCACGACAGACTACCTCCTTGTAGAGAATAGAGTTCCTCCCGGGTGTGTGTGTTGGAGAGAGAGAGACAGCGGAATGTCTCTCTCTTTCAAATACTGATACAACAGCCGCTTTCTTCCATACTGTAGAATGTACTGCTAAGTAAGTTTCACATTAAATATATGCCTAAGAAAAGGAATAAATATTACTGTCTTAGTCTTCTATGACAAACCCAAAGATATCGTCCAGTCCAACAGATTAAGAAGATTTTAGCCTCTTGTGGGAGCCACCCACATTGAATCAAACGCTAGCCAATCACATGCTAGGAACTATCCGTTGTTAAGCAACGGCTGAGCAAAAAGCGATTGCTAGGTAAATCCTGCAACAAAATGTGGTTTTCTCTTCGGGCATCGACAATCCCACATTGGGGACTCTGATGTGATTTCCTGGAGCAGCAACTGAACGTGGTAAATTTACGTTATGTTCCGAGTAGGAACACTAGTGCCTACGGTTCCGAGGAAGGGGGGGGGGGGTTAAATTTAGCGCCATTGAAAACATTTATTAAAATAAAGAATCAGAGTGACTACGCCTGGTATGCAATGTCTGTTAATTTAATATTCCCAATAGATTCTCATAGTAATACAGGATAGCTTGACAAAATCTACTGTGGCAAAGGGCTGCAAATCTTTGCACGCACTCAAGTTTATTGGAGCCAGATGATGATGATGATTTAATATTTGTCATTTCGATGGGGGCGGTGGTTATAATTATAATACTAATGATATGGCTACAATATCTGCGAAGAATTCCTTAAGAAAACAGTCAAGACGCAAGTATAAAGTAAAGTAAAGTAAAGCTATCCCTGTAACAGGCCGTGAAGGCCCATAGGGTTGTGAGACGTTGAGGGTCCCACATTTTCTAGACAATCGGCTCAAAGATGGCCGTAAGGTTGTCAGCCTTACGCGCCGGCCGCGCTTTACTCCCCAGGATGATTATTTAATTAATTCCTGGTACTCATTTCTGTTAGAGGCTGAGTAAACCCCAGTGCCTAGTGCGACTGGAAGGATTAGGTCAATTGAAAAAATCCAAGCAAGTATACCAATATAAACCAAAAGGTAAAACATATCCTGGGAATCTGGTAAAATGTGGAAGGAAGTCCTTGTAGCGAGAGTAGCCCAGAGCTCCATCTGTGATGCTGCTCACGATTGCGGTTAAGAGGAGCGGAGGGATCTCACAGCAGGACTGCAAGATCAATGTTACATCATGACGAAATCGCTTATCTACGAGGGCGTTTGTTTTGTCACTGACATTTCAACCTTGGTGAGTGTAAAACGCAACAGTAAACACGAGTTATTTCTGGCGCACGCAGAATCTAGACAGTTTAATATTACAAGGTCGTTCAAGGTTAACTGCTTTGTTTACTACTGTCAAGCAATACATTAACCCGCGTGTAGGAAAGCGAGCGATTTCATTATATCTGTGTACAATCTGGAGGCAAAAGCTAAAAGGTTATATATGTTTGTTTATATATATTTACTTGCGTATTTATGCTATCATTGCCGACAGCGGTTCAACTTGTAACGTGCGGAATTCAACTGTGGACTAAGGAAATGCTATTGGAAAAAGAAAAAACAGTATGACTACATCCGTCCCGCTTAAAAAATGAAAACTAAACACAGGAATCCGTACATATTCGACAGATATTATTCCATATTTTATCATATGTACGTTTGTTGTGGGCGTAGAAAAGATGTAAGCCTATGTCCCGTACGAATAAGACCACGCAAATTCAACCATTTCTTTGTTCTGAAAAAGGCTTATTTTAAGTCTGTAACTGCTTACTGCTATGTATTCATATAGTGTGTTGAAGAAAGGGTTACATGCTTGAAAGGGGTATAGTGCTCACTTAAATGAGCAAAAGCTCTCAGTCAGCCCATGTCCAGCAATCAGTGCCTACTCAAATATGGGCAAGACAGTTTCTAGGTGGGCATTTTAGGTAATCGACTCTTAGGACCAGTTTTTCTTACGTAAGAGATCGTAACAGCTAAAGTGTACCATCGATTTTTGGTGAATGATTTGCCCGTTCTTTTGGAACATGTGCCTCTACATCAGTGGGAACACACTGAGTCCTGCGCGATGGAGCACCGCCTCATTTTCTCCACATTGTCTTACAGCACCAGAACCAGACTTTCGGTGAACAGCGGATAGGTTGTGGAGGCTATCATCTAGCCTGCATGATCCCCAGACATTAATCCATTGGATTTTTTGTTGGGGGGACACCAATAAACTTTGGTCTATTCAGCGCTGACCAATGATTTTGAGGTATTAAGCAATGAGCAGAGAATGCCTGTCAAGAGATTCGAGTGAAACCAGGAATTTTCGACAGAGTGGGTACCTCTGTGTAACGAAGAGCTGAAAGTTGTGTTGAAACGCCAGGGAATCTCGTATAACATCTGCTGTATAAATCTCACGGCGAACATCGCCCATAACTCAGCAGACACTGGTTTCTGGACATATGCTGACTGAACTTTTTACTCAATTAAATGAAAAAATTTACCCCCCCCCCCGATACTAATATACATATATATGTATATACAGATGTTAATAAATGTTAATAAATGTATATGTTACAGTGCTCTGTGGTAGAGATATGGGCTCAATCTGATCATATTTTTTTAATATCCCCATGTCGGGAAACTCTTCTTTTTGGCACTAAGGGCCATAAAATTTCCCGAGATGATGCATAAGTTTTAGGGGATGTCGTTGTTTTACATTATAAAAGGTGAAGTTAGTTGGAAATTATGGCCGTGCCATAGCTCAAGCGGTTAGTCGCTGGCTTCCCACCGCGGCGGCCCAGGTTCGATCCCTGGTCTGGTCAAATGGGATTTGTGGTGAACCAAGTGGCGCTGGGGCAGGTTCTCTCCGAGTACTTCGGTTTCCCCTGCCAATCTTCATTCCACCAATTGCTCCACAATCACCCTCACCTATCATCTGGGGCTGGTACAATAGGCCAGAAGTGTCCGCAGTACAAGGGACTTAGTCCCACCCCACTAGGAATAAAAAAATAATTGGAAATTAATTAAGATTGAAGTTAAAAGAATTTTAGTACTACCCCTAGTGTGTATGTGCTCGTATTAAATTGTCAATTTACGTATTTATGAATAAATATTTCAAGATTGTTGTGAATGTCTATTTGCCCATTCTAACAGTTCAGTGGCTATATGATATTCGAGATAGTTGGGAGCCAGGTTCTGATTACGGGTCTTTTATACTACATGTTTATTTATATGTACCATGTTCGAGTGCAGGCTGAGGTATGTGGGGTCGCGTTATTTTCTTTATGATACGCAGTGCAGCTGACGTCTTGTTCTGTGTTATATTTGAGCATCCTGTTACACTCACACAATATATATGAGACAAACACCGTCTTAAGTGCAACAATTTAATTGTAGTTCTTTCTTCTTTCACTCCTCCACACTACATGTTTCGGATGGCCATCATCAGGTGTGTATTCTTACGTAGCTGCTACACTGCCCGTAGTTTAAAATTTAAAATCACCAGTCTTTCTAATTGTATGTATAAAATCTTTGTTAACCTACACGCGTTAATTTGATTTCTAAAATTGACACTTTTATAAAACTTTAATTCAAGTTAAAATGTCTATAAAATTTCTGTTCTTTTTCTTTTTCAAAATTTTTTAAAAATTAAAATTTTCTCAGGGTACACGCCCTATGTCTATAGTGCTGCAGCGGTCACTTCTTGTTTTATCTCTGTTCAGGTATTGTTCTGTGTAGGCTCTCTCTGTGTGTGTCGCCGTTTATCTTTAATACGTGTGCACGTGTTTGTCTCATATATATTGTCTTGTTCTGTGTTCGGTCGTTGAGACTCTGTCAAAGCTAGTTTACGGTTGGTATTGCTTATTACTTTTACCTGAATTGTTATGTTGATGGATACAATAATACCATTTTAAAAACACTCCTTTATATTCATAATCCGGTCTTTTCTGGGGTGATCAGTTTCTCCGCCTTTAATATAATCTATTTTGCTGTAGCGGTTCATAATTTTCAGTATATATGTGGCAAATCTACGTATAATCCCCCTTGTTACATCTTATGTTTCGTATGTGTTTCATGTATACCCATAATTCTTAAGGAATGCGCAATGTAAAATTGTTGCCAATTTAAGCATGTCAGTTTCTTTGTACCTGTATATTCATATTTATTGATTGCTTGTGTTTTTGAAGTTTGCTTACGATTGTGTTTGTGGTTCTGAAGGCTATTTTTATATTCGTGTTTCAATACTTTGCTAAAAATCATTTGCACCACAATGATCAATTCAACGCGCCACCCGAAATTTAGATTTAAAAATTATTTAGCCTTGAATCGCATATAGTAAAATTGATATGCGGTAACTAACATATGATGTATATTGTGTATAAGAAGGTAATGGAAATTATTTTAAATATTAAAGTCTTAAAATCATGTACAACCACAGATAACAGCCTCGAGATAGTTTCTATGTTTCATCATAAGTTTATATCGAAACATGTTGGCACAGTAATATTAACCTTAAGCTACATCAAGAACTTGTGTTGTAATTGATTGTAATACGATAATGAACAATAAATATTCTGTAAGTGTACTTATTGGTATGAAATTTAGGGGCTTCAATATCGTCAGAACATAGATACAGGACACTTCTGTTTGGAAAATATGCAAATACCACCGAAGGACAAATGTTGGAGACAGATACTTGTACAAAAGATCAATGAATTAATTATTGTATTCTAACACCACCCTTTGTCTTCTCAATCTGCTCCTACTATTCGTTGCTTGGTTACCACTCAGCTATGGCTACACCAATACAAAGTCACTAGTTGTTTCCTGGTAATGAATCTTAACAATCAAAAGACCAGCTGCTGTATTCACGTACTTACCCATCGAGTTCCAGACAGCGAACGATAGCGAATAACCCTGCACTGATGTTACTGCCATCTTATGACTGTATTTTAAGCGTTCAGAACCGGTCTCTTTAGCTTGTCCACGTGTGACGATGTGCGTGTGTAGCGGGTTTTAACCACAAGCTGAAAGTATTGGGGAAGCAAAAGGGCAGATTTCGCTTTGTGTGATTAAGTACTGTTGTACATGCAAGATGGGTAAAGTATTCAGTTGTAAAATTTAATTCCACCAAACCCGCTATAAATTATTATTTGTTATTCTAATTTAAGCAGTATGCTCATGTCTGCACTAACCTCCGCTAATAAATTCAGTTGCTAGTTTCACATCGCAGATTACATTAATTTACAGTGCACTGCGATATCTAATATTGTCGTTCTTTTTCCATTTGCTTTTTCTGAGTTTTTATATTAGTCATAAAAATAATAATAATAATATATGCGTCCGTTTCTTAGGTTATTTTACGACGCAGTAATATCAATTTCAGAGGTTAGGTATCATGGAGTAAAAAGTGAAAGAGTGATTATGAATTGTGTGACCAGAAGCATTTGGGTGAAAGGTGGTGTCTGTTTAAAACTGCCGAATGTTAATCTAAATATAGCTGTCAAGAATCATAATTCACATTGGTTACTGAACGCAAATTCAGTTGCATTACTGCTGTAGTACCCCCCCCCCCCAAGAACTCCCTATGTCATTCTTAGCGCATATGTAGGGCCCCGTCTCCTGAAGGGACTGCCAGCAGACATTGTGATCTTAACTCCAGGTGTTCTGCCTGTATACTGATAAAAATAGAAATCATTTAAAAAAATAATATCTGTCACCAAGGAGGGATTTGTCGGTCTTGTTTTGTGACACAACTGATTTTAATCTTGACATGGACACTTGCTCTTATGACAGGTTTTCTTTTGCATAAATAAACTACAAGACAGTCTGTATTCCAGATATTTGTTTGTACTTACATGTAGTGTTTTTGGCAATAAACTAGAATGCTTAGGAGTAAGGGAAGTGCCCTTTTGTAACTTCAAAGAATCCCCATCATCAGTTTACTTTCACTGTTACAGCAATCGTACTCAAGTGTACTAAATGTTAAGTTATGTCAAATCATAAGTAAGACCTGTACTTTCAAAATGTGAAGAACTGAGTTCAACTTTAGTGCATGTGAAACGGTTTTATGTTACAGTAACTGTATGCTTGGGGCTCATTAGTATTCACCCACATGATGTGATATAAGACCAAACTTCTTGAAAAATTTGTATTTTCTTATGCCTGTTAGGCCCAACATAAACATATTGTAAACAGATTAAACTAATTTATCTAAAGCTAACCTAATTTGTAAATAAATGTGGATTTCAGTTTAAATCATTTAATGATTGCATGACACATTGTGTAAGACTGTTATTTTGAACTTTGTCCATGTCTGAGTGTATTAAACCCACAAGCATTTTTTAAATTAGTTCTAGTTTCCCCCGCAGGTGAACAGCATATAATAGAAAACCTGCATTGTTTGGCACCTCGGTAGAGTTGGTTTCAAACCATGGATGATGGGTAGTGTATGCTGAACTATTCCAAAATAGTAGTTTTTGTTTGATAACTATTAAAATTTGCCCAAATATAAAGAAAATAGTTCAAGTACATATGTCTAGAAACAAATAAAAAATTACATTACATTAAAACCCTGAGAAAATAAGCCTATGTTTGAAAGTTGTGTCATGCTATATTTTCTGATTCGATAAAATTAAAGTATGAAGTCTTTAAATTTAACTCTTGGGGGGCACGCGGTAGTGTAGTTGGTTGAGGGGCTATGCTACAAGCTGGATAGTCGCGGGTTCAAGTCCCAATGAGGTCACTGGATTTTTTTCAATTGACCTAATCTGTCCAGCCGCACTATGGCCCTGGGGTTGACTCAGCCTCTAACAGAAATGAATATCAGGAATTAATTAAATAATTTTGCTGGGGAGTAAAGCGTGGCTGGCGCGTAAGGCTGACAACCTTACTGCCATCTTTGAGCTGATTGTCTAGATAATGTGGGACCCTCAATGTCTCACAACCCTATGGGCCTTCACAGCTTGTTACAGTGATAGCTTTACTTTTTTAGAAATATTGTACAAATAAGTACGTAGATAAGTCAATAAATAAGTTACAAATGGATACTTTTATTTCTCAACATAATCTCCCTGTACATTGAAGCACTACAGCTTCATCGTCAGAAAAATGTTCAGCTGAAAGATGATGTTTAAGAGGGCCGAAGAAATGGAAGTCACTTGGAGCAAGGTCGGGGCTATATGGAGGATGCTCAAGGACTTCCAACTTGAAATTTCACAGCGTCTCCTTTGTCTTGTTGGCAGTATGGGGACGTGCGTTGTCGTGCAAGAGCAACACACCTTTGGTGAGGAGTCCTGGTCGCTTCCGTTGAGTGACCTTACAAAGTTTCCTGAGGATGTTACAGTAGTAGTCAGCATTTATGGTTTGTCCTTGAGGCTGGAATGCCGTGAGCAGTATGCCGTCATGATCCCAGTCACCGCCTGGTTCTGACAGCAGCCCAAAGAATTTTATGCTGCTGGTTTTCAGGGGCTTGTGAAATGATGGGACAAGTACCTCAATGTACAGGGAGATTATGTTGAGAAATAAAAGCATTTTTCAAATCAGAACTCTTATTCGTTTAAGTTCTTTATCCATTTGTAACTTACTTATTGACTTATCCTTGTACTATAGGAGGCAGCCTCAAAAAACTACACACTCATTTTGAAGTTACTTTCAGAACTGAGTTAGTTAACTGAAGTGAAATATTATAGTTGGGCTGGCATCTACTGTACTGCTTCCTGGATATACTGGGGACATTGGAGTGGCAGTTGTCCATTGCAAGACAGCAAGAGCAAAGTTGCTATTTCTGTTTACCTCCCATAACTAATTTGAGTTGTCTCATTCTGGTCTGTCACACTATTAATTACAAAGTGAATAATTTTCAGTCAAGTGTGACATACAAGTTTACAACACTTCAGTCTTTATTCACCTTACATGTTTCGATTCAAAAGAATCATCCTCAGAGGCGCACCACTATGATCAGGAAACACTGTCACATAAGATGTTTTAATAATATGCACTTAAGCTATGAATAATGCTCACTATATAAATGATAACTAAATTATACTGTTTGTTCTTAGGAAGTACTTAGCAGACTAATAGTGTAGAAATTATTTTGTGTTTCAGCTGTGTCAAGTGGAACATCATTTGTACTGGCCTCAGTTCTTACTGTGCTATTGTTTTCTGGCATGCAGATGTATCGTCAGTGGCTCGCCTCATCACAGCTACATACAATACTTGGCGGATATCTGGGATCTGTACTCTTTATTCTTGTCCTTACAGTATCCTTCCATTGCATTGCATGTTTCTATATACAGTCTTTTTGCTGTAGGTTTCATTTGAACATATTTTAATTGGCCTAACTAGTTTAATGAATGTGCCGAACTAAGTGATACAGTATTGACTCAGACCTTCTTTTAGTCCATGAATAGTTGATGTACTGTCTCATTGTACCCCCGTTTTTTCCCTCCAGTATCTGACAAATTTAACAAATTCAAAGAAATCTCATCAGTAGTTGAACTGAACTGCCGAAACCCACACTGATGATTCCCAATAGTTTTGTTTACAGATGGAATTAACCTTCAGAGATGGATATTGCATAAAATTTTGTGTGAAGTTGATAACAATGATATGCCTCAATAATTACTACTGTCAGTTTTATCACCCTTCTCATAAATTGGTAGAGTAATAGACTCCTTCTGTTGCTCAGACAATTCTTCCTCATTCCAAATAGAATAAATGAGTTTTTAATTCTCAGAATGTAGTATTTGGCATCTGCTTCAGTCAGTTCTGCCTGAATTTGTTCAGTATCTGGTCTTAACATTATAATTCTGAAATTACAGTTTCAGGTACTAATGAGTGAGTTGCATGAATTTCCATCTGCTTAACATCAGTAACTCTATGTACTTTCAATAATGTAAAAGTAAATGTTTCCCTGTAACAGGCCTTGGAGGCCCATAGGATTGTGAGAGGTCAAGCCTCCCACATTTTCAAGACAATCAGCTCATAGATGGCAGTGAGGTTTTCAGTCTTATGTGCCGGCTGCACTTTCTCCCAGGAATATTCATGGTACTCATTTCTGTTAGAGGCTGAGTTGACCCAAGGGCCATAGTGCAGCTGGAAGGATTGGGTAAATTGAACTGAATGCTTGTAGCATAGTGCCTCAACCAACTATGCCACACGTGCCCCTTGTACATTCAGTAGCCAAGAGAAATAATTCTTCCACCTATTCAAAATGTTGCAGGAACCTGCAAGTTGACCACTGTCCTCTTCCTGTAAAAGGCTAATTCTAGGTTGGTTACCCTAATTTATACCTCCATGGAAATCTTTAATGCTCTTGTTCTTATTGTGTGTTGGAAGCTATTTAAATTTATCTTTCACATACTCCCCTTTTTTTGTTCCTAAAATTCCCTCTTTTTGTTCCTGAAATTTCTACTAGCGTCAAGTCTTATGTTATTCAGCTTATCTCTATATGTTTGGCTCAGATCCTGTAACCCTTGGAGTTCAGCTAGTTTCCTTTGATCTAATAGTTTTGAACATCCTTCATCAAACCATGGCATATGCTACTTCGGTTCATAACAGCCAATTTTAAATTGTAAAGTATTCCTTCTGTAATGCAACAAAGTCAGTCCTTTCATTAAAGACTCTAAATATATTTAATTCACTAAAAAGTGTTCATTAAATATTTTAAAATGTCATTAAGTGTGTAAATTTGATGTCATTGCTACATGTTTCGGCCACATGGGCCATCATCAGGCAACACTTATTAATTAGGGAGGCCACTGCACTTTACACTTTGTCCTTAGCACCCTTAGGCACGTTGTTGTCGTCGTTAATTTGCTTCGTATGATATTTTCATCCTGCTAAAAAAGACGATGAAAATATCCTATGAAGCTTAGGACTGGAATCTGTGTCCGTCTTCAGGTTTTAAATAAAAAATGGATGACGGCTAATGTCCAGAAACATAATATTTGTATTAATGTACTGTGGGAACATCCCACATTATCACGCATTTTCTGCAACGCACACTCTTCACATCACTTTTCACCATCACGCGCGCTAACCAATCAAATTGCTCCAAACGTTCGCATTTGTACTGCGCTCGCTGCATCATCACGCGCGCTAGCCAATCAGCGCCCTGCAAATTCTTCCTCCTCAATTTCAAGTTTTGCTCCGCCCACTGAGCAGTGTATAAAAAGGAGCAGCCGCAAACCGGCATCAATCAGTCTGACTTCAGTCTACGATCAAGCCACATTCAAGCAACATCAGCCAGCAGGCTTCATCGCCAGCACTCGGTCTTCAGAGGCATCGGCAGGCTGCGCCAGGCACGACTGCCTTGGCCCTCCGGCTCTCACACCCGACGCACTGGGGCACCTCGCCTGGACTCGCCGGTGGTTGTGTCCCTGCCCGACCCACTGGGCATCTGGCGTAGCCACTGCCTCATCACTCCTACGACCGTGCTGCGCGACCACACAACTTCAGCTCACCTGCCGCATGGCGATCAAGCAACCTCCAGCAACGGCCGTGCTGTGGCCAGTCAAATCACCATAACTAACCTCTCTTCCTACCGGCGTGTGCCGTGCTAGCTCACCGGTCAAGCATTTCAGCAACCACGGTCCTTTTCAGGACCAACAAACTGTTCCGAAGAAGTGGGTTGTCATCGAAGTAACAACACAAAGGCAAAACTCCACAGTACCATTGTTACAAAAACTTTTAGATATTATTAATGTAGACTCTCTTTGGCTGAAACATTTATATTATCTCAAATAGTTTTCTAAGCTCTGCTGATATTCACATTATCATCTAAGTTTTCCAAACCTAGGAATCTTAAATAAATCCAAATCACTTGACACGTTGAGGGTTCATGGAGGCCTCGTGGTAAGTAAACTTCAGATTCAGTAATGAATGTATGCTTGATCATCACCACATTATTCCTCCCATTTTATGAATTTCTATGTTACAGTGAGTGTAAATATGCTAAAAGTGCATTAATTTTCATATTATTCCTTATGAAAAATCAGGCAGTTGGAAATTTGGAGTCAACATTATTTGGAAAAGGGTTTCAAACCAAGCTTTTCCCAGAAAGTAAGTACGCATACACACACACACACACACGCACACACACTCTAGACCATGCTAACACTTGTATCCTCACCATCACATAGAGGGACATTATGCATTTAACATAAATTTGTCAAATTTCTTTCATTAATCATATCAGGTACATTTCCTTTAAAGTATTCTTTTATAGGTACAAAATGCTTCATGTAGCTGAAAGTAAATATGGTTTTGTGTGTTATGGTATCTGTGTCTTTTTAAAAACACTTCACATTTTAACACAGTATTTTGTTTCTTCCTGTATAAATGTGTTTCTTTTCTTTCAGTCATACTCTGTTTGGGCATTGCCATGACAGCATCTGGAATGGTACACAGAGTGTGCACTACAACATGGTACGTGTAGATTCTAAAGGGTTCTGACAGTAGTGTATAACACTCAGATTTACTGGGATTTTGGACTTTGACCCTCATGGGGTATTCTGAAAACTAGAGTACGCATTGTTTTGGAAAATGATTCTGTTTCCATCTTCAGGTGAGGGGGAGACAAGTCCTCTGTTTGGTCCCTTAGATATAACCAACCTTAATCAGTGTGTGCACATGCTCATGTGAATTAAGGTCATGTAATTTTCATACTTTTTTCATAATTTTTATTTATGTATTTTTCTTTTATAATTGAAGTGTTGATAGGAATTTAAGGTTGCAAAGCTTCTGTGTGATGCCAGAAATTAAAATTGCAGTTCATAAGTGCCAGTGCTACACTGATTTTCCATACATGTTTGAAAAACTCATTAAACACCCTGTCTCTGCATACAACCATTTTCTCCATGCCCTGTGTGTAGAGCTCTAGTCCCGAATCATTGAAACAGTGGCGGCAGCTGCAGCGGCTTTGGTGGTGATGGTCATTGCCTAGGTGTTTGTTGTGGTCTTTGCTACCATCACAGTTGTGGTTGTCATTATCATTGTGATGGTCAAGGAAGAGGTGGTGGTGGTCGTCTTGATCATAGTAGTCATGATGGTGGCAGTGGTGATTTCTTTTGGGGAAGAAGTTACTGCTTTTTTATTTTTGCTTGTGTATATAATATCAGGAAGTGTTGTGTTGATGAAATCTATGTAAATACCTTTATAGATTTACACATTTTCAGTGCCACTGAATATGAAACCTAGTATATTGGAGAAGGTATTGTCATTTTGAAAATGAAACTCATGATTTTGACAGTATTATGTTTTCACCATGTAAGTGGTTCTTGGAGTGCTGTTTCTGTGTATGGTTGTATGCATTGCTAGCGACTACATGGTTATAAGAAATTTGTTTATGTTTGATATATAAGAATTATCCGTCATAGATTAGGGCCCTGAAGATGGACATTCTAGCTCTAACAATAGGCTCTCCTTAGATGGTTCCAAAAGGCAAAATGGCAGTTTTTCTTGAAAATTAATCAAGTGATTTTGATTAAATTTCCATAATTTAAGGAGAATAGTTATGCAGTGTGTACATGTTCAAACTTATAAAATCAGTCACGAACAGTGGTGTGCTGAACAATAACTAATTTTATATCCAAGATAACATAGTCAAAGTCAATTGCATATGAGAATTTGGCTGTACTAGTCATAGAGATTTGATTGTTTGTTTGTTAATCAGTAACCAGCAATGGTCTAACAAGCAATAATGGATTTTGTTTCAAAGGCAACATATTGAAGGTCTAACATACTTGAGAAAGTGTGTGCAGTGTCTCTGCACCAATTTTTCTGTGATGTAATTGTCAAATATAACTTTGTACAGAATTAAAGGTATTTTGATCATCCCTCTCCACAGTGTGTTTCACATGCCTTCCTCCAATTATTAATTAGTTATCTCCATTGAACCTGTAGTTAAATGTATACTTCATGTACTAACTTTTTTCTTTTACACTGTACAAAAAATGATATTAATAAAATTTGCATATTTTTTTAAGATCTATTACCATCCATCATTCAGGATCCTAAATTATTTTATACAAAAAATTACCTTTCATAGTAGGATGAGACAGTCCACTTGGTACTGTGGCCGCTACTGGCCTGTTGTACCAGCCCCAGATGATAGATGATGGTGATTGTGGAGCAGTTGGTGGAATGAAGATTGGCAAGGGGACCGAAGTACTTGGAAAAAACATGCAAAACATGGCCAGCACCACTTGTCCACCACAAATCCCACATGACCAAACCCAGGCCACTGTGGTGGGAAGTTGGTGACTAACTGCCTGAGCTATGGCATTGCCCAAAAATTACCTTAATGTACATAGAATGATTTTTGAAGATCTGTTGCCATACATCATATCAGGATTAAAAAAAACGTTAACAGAATATGCATGTTGTTTGAAGATCTATGATGATCCATCATTGAGGGTCCTAAATTACATTATACAAGAAATTACATTGCATGATTTTTGAAGATCTGTTACTGTACGTCTTATCAGAATTCTAGATGAAGTTGTACTAGTGTCACGCCTACCTCACAAGTTCCGTCAATGTTCTTGTTATTTATTGTAGATGATTCGAAAAGCAAAAGCTTTAAAAAAATCCAAACATCCATGCCTGTGTTGTGTTGCTTTGATAATTTTTTGGTAATATTACAGCTTCCTGTTCTCTGTGGTGGGACTGTACTATGTGAATCGCGTCTCCCAGCAGACGCATGCTATGCCAGTTCCTCAACAACCAGTACCGACCAAGAAAAAGAAGTAGAGAGGTATGCTGATTCAAATTTGTTGTTTTTATATATTCATGTACTTTTATAAATAACTTAATAGAGCAGAATCCTTGGAAGATGAATAGTTAACTTATTTTTGTTTTATTATTTTATTATTACTAGTGGGGTGGGACTAAGTCCCTTGTACTGCGGCCACTTCTGAGAATAGTCAACTTAGTCAAGACATTTCTTGCCTTTTATGTCACCAGTGTTCACAAGCATCCATGACAGGATAATGAGCAAGATTAATCCAGTCTGCATTGAATTGAATTGAATTGAATTTATTTACATTCTATAAATCCTAAGCAGGTTAGTACCTTTGGATACAGAACATGTCAAAAGGTTACATACATAAGTACAGGCAATTTTAGCTTAAAAATTAATATAACTTAATTTTACATCATTCTCTATTTACATTGAAGTATTCATCTAAAGAGTAGAAGGAATGAGCATGTAGATAATTCTTTAACTCTGATTTAAACTTTTTAGTATCATTGCCCAAGTTTTTAATACTTTGTGGCAGATTGTTGAACACTTTTATGCCAGTAAAGTAGACTCCTTTTTGATATACTGATAAAGTTGATGAGGGTAGGTGGAAGTTATATTTTTGTCTAGTATTCATGTTATAGACATCAGAATTTAATTTGAATTTATCTTTGTTGTAAACAACAAATAAGAGAAGCGATAATATGTATTGCGATTGAAGAGGTAGAATTTTTAATTTCTTAAATAATTCTCTACATGAATCTCTACTTCTACATCCTGTAATGATTCTTATTATATTCTTTTGTATTTTAAAAATTATTACACTATGTGAAGAGTTCCCCCAAAATATTAATCCATAGTTCATAATAGAATGAAAGTAGGCATGGTAAACCATCTTCAATGTTTCCTGTGACATAAAAGGCTTAATTGATCTCATCGCATAGCAAGCTGCATTTAATTTAGGTATAATTTGTTCAATATGTATTTTCCAAGACAGTGTACTGTCTACATGTATTCCAAGGAATTTTGTATCAAGTACTTTACAGATTAATTTGTTGGCATAACTGATGTCCAGATCAATTTGGTGGTTGTTTTTAGTTGTGAATGATATGTAATGGGTTTTATCAAAATTTAATGAGAGTAAATTGGCTTCGAACCATCTGTTTAAGGCTTCAAATACAATATTTATGTCATTTTTAAAGTTTTCAAATTTAGAGTTCTTAAATATTATACTAGTGTCATCTGCATATAGAATTGGTTTAGATTTATTGTTGATGGTTTTAGATAGATCATTTATGTAGAGAAGAAAAAGTAAGGGACCTAAAATTGATCCTTGTGGAACACCGTGCTTTATAATTCCCCAGTTTGAAAATGCATTATGACTGGAGTTTTTATTATTTATTTCAACTCTTTGATACCTGTTTTTGAGGTATGATTTGATCCATTCATTAGCTTTGCCAGTTATTCCATAGAAATTTAATTTCGATAGTAAGATATCATGATTAACACAATCGAAAGCTTTTGCTAGATCACAGAAAATCCCTCCCACAATTAATCTGTCATTGAGAGCACTTAAAATATCGTATTCTCATGCACTTCCATGAAGATCAATTTTATTATCCACCTAGACTTCCGAAATGGTCTCTTCCCTCCATACAACAAAATTAAAGTTCTGTGTACATTTTCTTATCTGCCATATGCACTACATGTACTGCACATCTACTCTGAATTTATCACTGTAATAATATTTAATGAAGAATATAAATGAATGGGACATATCAGCTTGTGGTCTATGCTGAGGGCATAAATTTGTTGGGGATAACATAAATACTATAAAGAAAGAAAAAACAGATGCTAGTAAGGAGACTGGTCTAGAGCTGAACACATTCTTTAGCCTTGAAGATGGAGGTGACATGTTCCTCTGAATTCTCAGTTGATTGTCAACATCCTGCACAGTGTTACACTGCAGAATTTAGAACTCATAACCACTGCTGTGAAAACCAAAATATGAAGTATATGTTCATGTCTTATAACCAGAATGCAGGGCAGAACCATAACATAAAAGACATTAGTAGATCCTTTAAAAATGTGGCAGAGTTCAGATATTTGGGGATGACAGTAACAGATCAAAATTTGGTTCGTGAGGAGATGACATAGCCCAGTGACTGAGGTTAGCTCTTTCTAAAGGATCCAACAGAGTAGGTGTCTCCCACCTCCTCACCTGATGGTGGAAACAGATATTGTTTCAGAAACATTTATGTTATTTAGAATACCGAAAGATGGAGAAAGTTTAAAAACCCATTAATCCACAGAGATGTTTTGTGTGCTCATAACATGAAAAACAAAGAGAAATGCTTTACTGTTACAATGAATGTGAAGCAGGCTTGGGTTTGAATGGCTCTTTCAACAGCTGTCTTACAAATCTCCACTTCTAACCTTGTTGCTTTCTTAATACACATACATGCTGTTTTGTTAATATGATAAGCCATTAAAACCATAATTTCTTCAGCGCTTAGAGAAAATGAAACTTTAAAAGTAGGTATGCAGTGAGTTCTGAAGGTTTAAATATTTCAGCACAAAAATTGAAGGGCTGTAACAAAAAATATTAGTGCAAGATACCACGGAGTGCACTATTTAAACGTCTGTGTTGAAGTTTAAGTAACAACTTTGTGAGATATTCCAAGACATAAGACTTTTCAGCCACTGCCATTAAGTTCTTCGTTTACTCGTATTATGCAGGAAAATTGAAGTTCGGAGATCAGAATCGAACATGCTACATTATGGGTGTTGTTAGGTCTGCCCCCCCATGAATACAGCTAGTATCGACTCTAGAGGATCACTTTCAGTTCTGACATCTGAATCTAGGCCAGGGATGGACAAAGGTCAGCCTTTGGTCTTGATTTGGTCTGACAGCACTTTCACACCTGCCTTCAGCAATGTACTAAGATAGCTTCATAACATTAAAACTGATGGTATGTGTTTTCTGTCTACACTTACATTGTAAATGAACCATTTAGCTGGAAAAGAGAACTTGTCCAATAGCTGAAAGGCAAACATGTTCCATTTCATCAAAGCAAATCAGATGGAATTTAATTTTTTTTTTACTGGCTCTACAGCCCCCTTGGGCCCTGGCCTCTGATTTTTTTCAGTTTCATGATCATTTTACAGATGGTAGGACTCCTTGGATGAGTGATCAGCTCGTCACACGGCCTCTACCTAAACACAGGACAACACAAACACAGAATAAACACAAACATCCATGCCTCATGTGGGATTCAAACCCACGATTCCGGCTTCCAAGCGAGCGAAGACAGTACATACCTTAGCCCACTCAGCTACTGTGACCAGCTGTGATGTAATTGTTAGGGTTAAAGTAACGTGAAGGAATATAACATGTTTGGACTATATTTGAATTTGAGGTTCTCATGGTGGTGACTGTAGAATACTTTCTGCTGGGTTATAATGCCATGTTGCTTAGAGAGATCCCAGCATTGCAGAGTAACCTATCACCATCTTCATGGTCAAAAAGGAAGCCAAGCAAGAAACCAGCAGATGTTAGGCTGTCTCAAAACTGTATGATATTACAACCCAGAAGACCATATTATATTTATTTTGTTTTCTTGAGTTTAAACCATTTCACTGTTATTAGTCTTAATTTAACCTATGTACAGAGAACATAAAGTGAACATGTACAATTTTACACTGATAAAGATAGATGCCTTGTAAAGTTTACTCTGTCTTGTGGCATGGCCTGCCAACCAAAACATTTACCCTCCCTTGTTCTGGGCAATACCACTATTTGTGAGTTGTGAGAGTTGAACAGTACAAGAAGAAAAATATTCCTACAAATCTCATCATTACTTATATTACATTTAAACAGCCAAGCATCCTGTATTTTATACACACCATTTCTATACTCCATTAATTGTTTTATTTTATTCTTCTTTCAGATCCAGAATTAGCCATACTCCTTTCTGCCATTGTAGTATGGATCCTCAGGGCTGCATCCAACCACGAGAAAACAGAAGACTGCCGGTATACATTTCCATTATCTTTCATATAAACCTGTCCTATAAAAATCAATAAAAGACTTGAATAACTTTGTCTCATTGCATTATTATATGCAGTAGGATGTCCATGTAACAGCATTGAATGAACCCAGTTTTTTTTAACTTTGCCATGTTGATATTTTAATGAAAGTACTCAGTTGTAATTAAATATCTAATTGTCATCATCATTACCATCATGTCATCATGTTTATTCAGCTCTTACCATGTTTCAGTTCCAGCTTTGCAACTGTTATTCCTGTTGTCCCATTCGCAAAGTCTTGCTTTTTGTTCCTGGGCTTTGAACTTGATTTGCTGACACCTTGTGAGGATCTTGCTCAGATATCTCCAACTATAACATTTCCTTAAGGAATATTAATACCAGTTCATTTTCTACTAATATGGGTATATTAGTGTGTCCCATACATCTTCATGCATGGGACAGAGTCCTTGCAAAGCTGGTAGTCAGTTAGATATTCAACCAATTCCCCTACCTTTTTAGGCACTGTGTTACAAGCTGGAAAGTTGTGGTTTTAATTCCTGATGAAGTCATTGAATTTTTCAATTGACCAAATCCTTCTAGCCACACAATGGTCTTGGGGTCAACTCAGCCTCTAACAGAAATGAGTACCAGGAATATTCCGGGGGGTAAAAGGGCAGCCGGCACATAAGGCTGACATCCTCACTGCATTCTAGACAGTTGGCTCACAGATGGCAGTGAGGGTCTGGAAAATATGGGAGGCTTGATGGAACACAAAGGTTCAGTATCATATTCATGAGAGACTGCCATTGATCTCTGTCCCAATCCATATTAATCCAGTCCACAATGTCATACCATATTTCTTTAAAATGCCTAATAATATCCTTTCATCTCCTTCTAGGTCTCCCAAGTGGTCTTTTAAATTCACATTTTCCAACTACAATTTTCTAAGCATACTTCATCTTACATACGTTACATGCGTGCGCCCCTCATCTTTTGAACATATGTCACTGTAATAACAGTTGAAGAATACAAATTATGGAAATATCTCCAGTATGGTGAAATCCACCTTCCTGGTCTCTGCCTGCCTTGGTACTGATAAAGGAGTATTTTTCTGAGCCCATCTCTGAGGCAGACTGCTAAGTGTTATCTTTGCCAGATTTGAGATAAGAGAGGCCCTTGCAAAAACATTCATACTGGATCCTGCCCGTCTCAGACCTAGGACTGCTAATGTAGAATCATCCTCTAGACTAGCAGATTACAACAGAAGTTAGGTGTAGCTGAATAATCATGAAATAAAAGCAGGTAGGTGGGGAAGATAAATAAGAAATATAATACACTTATTAGTTTTAAAGTGGATGAAAACATCACATTATTTTGAAACTTAAGGTTATCATTTCTTATTTCTCATCATAATGCCATGTTTGAGTTTGCAATCACCCTGACATGATTTTAGCACTACATCACTTTTGGTCTGTGCTCAAAACTTCACTCTTTCTAATAAAACAGTCAAAGTCCTGCCAAGGTAGGTTCTTTTATGTCTTGACAGGATGCATATGGGCTGTTAAGTATTCCTGTTCCTCATGTAACATTCCATCATTTTCATATCATGTCACCATTTTACAGTGAGACCCAAAATCAGTGTTCCCTCATTTAATGATGTCCAACATTTAGTGAATATTCTTCCTGGTCCCAGCCAAAGTCCAATATAAACAAGTATTATTCTCTTGTATTTACTGAATTTTGATTTTGTAAGAAATTGACATCTATGTACAGAAGTTGTAATGTTTCAGAACCAGTGCTTTGATTTATTTAGTCTAGTGACTGTCAGTATTCATGTTTTCTCTATGCTGGAAATTATCAGACAGTGGCAAGTGATTATCACTTATTAAACATGCAGTAAAACCAGAGCCAAGGATCAGGCAATATTGCTTACAATAACATAGCTGCTTCAAATCTCAACCAAGTTGTGGCCAAAAATGTGTCTGGGAAAAGTGCAATTGTAAATGTAGATACAGTTGAATACTGGAAGACTGTCTTGCTTCCAAGGCATTTGGAAGGCTATAACCTTGAAATCTAGTTAGGATGGGTCCTTCGCAACTAGTTTCACTGGTTGTGCATGTAAGATAACAGGAGTGCATGGTAAACTGTCCTGGAGAGTAGAAATCTTTCAAATATACAGTGTAGATTTCAATACCATACATCCACAACTGATCATATAATGACCCTGGAACACCACATTCATAATTCTTAAGCTTCAAAATTTAGCAGTTTTAAAAAATGTAAAAGAAGTTAAGTCTTTTGAACTTTTGAAAATTTCAAAAAGTAATTTATAATTGATAATTAGACACATCAGAGACTTTTTTTCTTTTCAAACACCTACCTAACCTAACCAAACCCAGTTTGAGGAAGGTATGCCTAAATCTGTAGGTAGAAGGGCAGGAGGATGCACAGTAGCATGAAGATTAAATGTAACCTAACCTAATGTAAACCAGTGTGACCAAAGTCAGCCCAAAAGAGAAGGTAGATGGTCAGTACAAGTCTAACATAAAGTAAAATTAAACTGGACCAGGCTACACTGGAATTCATAGCTGGATGTGCAATTTGATGTAGAGTGGTCTGAAGAGCCAACCTTAACTAAATTAATGTAACCTGATCTCACAAGGCTGAGGTGGAGATGAATATTCTATAAACTGATGCACTGGTTAATGGACAGTTGGTTGAAAAAATACAAATTGAATGTATGACATTACAGCAGTTCTTCTCTTCACACCCATACACTGTGTGTATGGTTGTCATATTTATTTTCTGTTTTACTAGGAAATTATGTAACTTGGTGTATTCTTCAAAGATATTAGATATTGTCACATGTTAGAGTGACTACAGACATGGTTTGGATTGGTAAATGGATTTGTGGCAACATCCCACGTAACACGCTGTTTCGCTGGTCTTTCAGACAACACTCACTCCTAAGTGAATATCACATTGCTGGTGACGCTGATATTTATACAGCACTCGATGTCCAACCCACTTGCAGATCATCACATATGCTAACCAATCACATTGCTGGCAGCACTCGTATTTAAACAGTGCTTGATGTCCAGCTTACATTTAGATCATAACGTGCGCTAGCCAATCAGCACTCACAGTCACAACTGCAAGTTTCGCTCCTCCATCAGGCATGGTATAAGAGGCGGAGCTCAAAGCTCGCACTCGTCAGTGAACACACAGTTCAGAGTAATCAGTCATCAGAGGCATCAGCTCTTCACTGCGCCCAGGCAACTGATGTTGCCGCAAGTCTCCAGCGACCAGGCAACTGAAGTAGTAGCCGCAAGTCTCCAGCGACCAGACAGTGAACGCAGCTGCCGCAACTCCAGCAACCAGCCGAGGCAGCCGTTTCTACTGGCGCGTGTAGCACTACATCACCATCCAGACAGGCCAGCTGAACGGCCGTAAGACACTGCCTACTACGGAGGAGCAAAATTTGCCGGCACACTCGCGGTGGAACGAACTGCCCTTAGAGGGCCAGCCAACTTTTGAACATTCCATATATATTCTGTACTCTGCTATTCTGTAAATTCAGTTTATATGATTTAATATATACAATTGTTACAGTTTCACGTGGTTGTCATTTAGAACATCAACAATCCCACAGATTTATTGAACACTTACAGATTGTAACTACAAGTAATTATAGCACTATTGCAAATTCACACACTCAGCAGTTCACTACAGCATGTACTAAGTCTACTTACTCTGCTTTGTCTTCACCCGTCGTCTGATAATGGCTTCCAACCATGGACGTTCATCTTATGCTGGGTTCTTGAACTATCCCTGTGCCTTAGCTACCGGCTTCTAACAGCAACAGCTCACAAGGAGTGAGTGGTAGCAGTCCTCTAACTCACTCACTCACAAACCAACTCACTCCACTGCCCTGAACTCGGCCAGTTGAGTGATATAGTCTCGGAGTGTACCTCACAGAAAACATTGCTTCCAACAGTACTTCCACTATTACGTGCGAGCCACTACCTAGCAACAGTTGTCTCATTTGTTTTACAGTTATTGCCTAGCAGTGGATCTATATATCACAGTAATTTACTATCAAAGCTTTGAAACCCTATTGAATGCCAGTAATGTTGTACATTGAGTGTTGCCCCCATAAGTTCACATGGCCATTGTTCTGGTATTTGTGGTAATATGAAGTTCAGAGATATTGAAATGTGGAGATGGCATGGGATACCAATGGCATGTAAATTATTCATGCCAGATTTTATAAAAGTGTGCCATTTGGTGTCTGTAGTTGAATAAAGGACCAGAGAGGTTGATAGACACATGGTGATCATTAATGTAATAAGATGCTGAAGAACGGTGCTGCATATACTGTTATAAAGTGTAACACAGAGCTGCATTTTCTATCTAATAATATCTAATGATCTAGTTACTGATAACTCTCTGGTAGTAGAACCTGAAAGTTGAATGCTACTCATATCAGTGCCTTCCTTTGTATGTGGCCCTGATCTAATTGTGTTCACCTCCAATCCTAATAATTTATTTCCCTAATATCCATTTTAATGGTATAGTCCCATCTCCTGCACAGTCTTCTAATTTATTACTTTGCTCACCATAAATCTGTAGCTTTTATTATCTCATCTATCGAATGGAGGTGTTCAGCATGTATTCTCCTTGGTTGTACTATCCCAACAGTATCGGGTCGCCTGTGTAAATCACAAAGTTCCTTATTGTGTAATATCCTAAATTCCTTAGTTAGGCTACTGCTTCCTTCTTCGTCCAAATATGCTTGTAATTCATAATGTTGTATTTTAGCGTCCTGTTGCACTGATTTTCGTCCATGATATGTATGCAGTGTCCGTCTTTTAGTGCACTCAATTCACTTGTTATTTCACAACATGTTTCGGCACTATAGTGCCATCATCAGGTGCTCCATTTACGTTAATCTATTTCATTGCTTGCCATTATGTCATTGTAAAATTTAAAAAGTATTCAAAAATGTTCATCAATTATAATAAATATTTATATGCTAAAAACTTGTTAAGATTATTTATCATATCTGTCCCAATTCTAACACCGCACATAGTTCCACCACTATGGGAGTCGTTCCTCTTACTCTCAGTGTATATCGTGTCTCGTGTTGTGTGTTCCCTGTTTGGTTGTGGGTGTTGTAATGTGAAATTGAGTGCACTAAAAGATGGACACTGCATACATATCAAGCTTGTGATTCATATATTCTTACTCTAGAATAAGAGACCATGGTTCACAAAACTATCATAATAGTGTTTTGAATATTCTGGTTACAGACTAACAAACTTAAATGGCAATGACTGCAGCACATCACTCAGAACAAATTGCTTTGGAGATATTCCATGTCAGTTCTGATCCTCTTGGTCACTGAGGAGTGGACAAATTCTCTTTTTGAACTGAATTCTGTCCAAGTTGCTAATACTGTCACATGAAAATTGAGCTGAGGGTGTTTTTTTTTTTTTTGGAAGGGGGCTGTTTTATTGTGCAGTAATCATGGAATTATGTAACAGGAAGGACATTACAAGAGACTCACAAAATTTCATAAAGAGGCGCTTCATAATTTTGTCACGCGATAGAGTGCTACAGACGGGTTTTGGATTTATGGTTCAATTTATTGCACACTTTGATACAGCACATGACTATACTTCACATTTCACTATTACACACAGTCACATCTTTGCTGGCGTTGCATTGCTTGTTAGCAGCTTTCATTGGCGATGTTCTTCCTCTGGGTTCCCAAACCATCCCTGACCTTAGTTAGCTACCAGCTTAACAGCAACAGCTAACAATAACTGAGCCCCAGCAGTTCTCTAACTAACTGCAACTGCTCACTGGTCCTAGTTATAACATCTTGGCACAGACTGTGTAAGAAACGTCTCTTCCATTATTGCTATTTTCTCTCATTGCCATGGAAACATGCTTGTTTGCGGAGCCATTACTTAGCAAATTGTATGGTTGGTTGTTTCATAGTTGCTGCCTAGCAATGGGTGTACATGTCATATTGTTCCCACCTTGAGGCTATTCATCCTGAAGAGGCTACAGGCGTACCACCATTTCTTCTTTCCTGAGGGCTATGCTTTTCACAGCTCTTCTTTTGTTTTGGTGGGGGCTGACCCCTCCACAATTTCCAGTCACTCACTTTTCAAAACCTGATCTCCGGCTTCATCCTCTGATGCTGTTTCCGGTTGTCTTGCCAGGTCCCCTATGAATACGAGGGGGGACCCAAAAATAACCGGAAATGACCTGTTGCGCGCGCATGCCTTGTAGTTACGAGTTGTGCTGCTAGGTGGTGTTAGCTGGGGGTCTCCCGCGACTGTTAGTAGTGAGCTGGCGTCAGTCTGAGTTAAGTGGTTTGTCTGTGGTGCTCTGTTGTGTGTGTTCCTGTTTCAACCCTTTGGCGATTAGTGAGATGGCTGACCAGAAGGAACAAAGAGTGTGCGTGAAATTGATGAAGATCGTCGAAAGACCATTGACCAACTTTCTGAGGAAACGAACATCTCATGGAGCACGGTCCAGCGAATTTTAACCGAAGGTTTGCACATGAGACGGGTGTCTGCAAAATTTGTTCCTCGCTTCCTCGGAGATGACCAAAGAGAAAACCGCGTGAATGTTTGCCG